CCCCAAAACCCCAAAACCCCAAAACCCCAAAACCCCTCAGAATTAAGAAATTATAGAAAATATCATTAGATATGAAATAATGCTAAATGTTAATCCTCTTGCTGATGTCATTCAGATATTCCTCATCTACATACTTAGTATTAGCCTTAACCATCATCTTCAGGTTAGCAATTTTGGCAACCTTCCTATGGCCTGTCTTCGTTGTTTTATAGTCTCTCCGAGAATGGAAATGGTTTCCCCATGTTTTCTTCTCAGGGCCACTAAAGCTGAACATCTTGTCTTCTCTAGTAGTGCCATTATGAATGTACTTGCTATTGGGAGGACTCCGATAATTATGGATGCTTTTGTTACTAAAATCCAAATTGTCACTTCCCTTCCCGCTTGTATTACTCAAAATCCTCCTTCTGTAGTTTCCCTGAGGGTTGGGGTTCTTTCGTTCATTCCGAAGCAATACTTGTTCAATAGTCTTTGAGGATAAAAAGTTCTTTTTCAGTAGTTGTAGGTTATTAGTCGTTCCAAACTTGAGCTTTTTGAATAAGATGTCTTCCATTCGATTTTCATTGGCTCCTCCTTCATATCTAGTGTAGTTTGTTGTGCTTTCAGCTGGACTCTAAACAAGGAAATTTCAGCAAATTCTATAAAATTCAAGAATTTGCAGAGAGTATAAAGATGCGGTATATTCATCTATTATATCTATCTAAGATACACATGGTTCGGAGGCACTCAAGTCTAGTTAATTTATCAACTTACTTTATCTGAGGATCGGTTTTGACTCAAAATATTACTATTTTCAAGATTTGTAAACATACTACCTCTCCTATAATCGTTTCCCGTAGTTATGGGAGAGACCATCTTAGGAGATAACTTGTGTTCTGTCTGGAGAGTATCGTGAATCTCTCCTATTTCCTTACTGCTATAAAATTTCTGTGAGCTACAAATTCAGCTAAGCCAGATCCTAAGACGAAACGAGTAAAAACTTTTTAAGCTCTAAAATGCACAACTTAAGCCGAATTCATGAAGAGTTTGTATTGAGATTTAGTAACTAGTATAAGCTTACCTAACTCCGGCTCTGCTCTTTTTATCAGTGTAGAAAACCTTGGGGTTTCTTCCAACTCCAAACTTGTACCCTACTGTAGTGCCTAATATCTCGGTGGCCTTAGTGCTGATTCCTGGATTAGGTGAGAACATGACAGAACTTTCCTTAGACCCTTCAAATTTCTTTTTCATCTCTACAAACAGCCCTTTTAATCCAACCATGGAGTTCTGGTGCTTTTGGATATGCTGGCGTAGCCAAGCTTGATAGTAAGCCGTAGTCGGAATCTTCTCTGCTTCAAGAAGTTTGACAATCTTGTGATTGGTCAGAGGACCCTTGCTAAGGCCTTTAGACTTCACTCCCCGGGTCTCAGGGAAATGATTCTGTTTTCTCTTATGAGGAATGTTTGCTCTTTTAGTTTTATTTTTTCTTTTGCTTGGTCTCTAAGTGCTTAATTGAATTCAAACTACTGAGCATGATCTCCATTCTATTGTTCCGATGCTTCTTAATAGAGAATTTAGAAATTAGTTCATTATTTATGAGCCGAATAAGTAAATTTATTTCAAAATTACGGGAATTGTTTTGCAAAAAATTTGATTTTAACAATGAGGAGATATTTGAGACTTGGAGCTTACGCTAATTAGACATCCGAATTTTGCTGTTCAAGTTCTTTTTCAAGGTGCCATCGTCTTTCTTTGGAGTCACAGCGTTTGGCATCTTATTGAGTGGAGAAAGAAGAAAATTTGCCTCGTTCTGAGCCAAATTTTTCTTCGAGTCTTTACCTAAACGACTTCGAGAAGGTCTAGAAGGTCTATTAAATTTATCATCTGGAGATGCAAGATGACTCAAGTTCTTGCTGTTGCCAGACCTTAGATCTGCTGTTGGTTTTAGCATACTTGGGCTTAAGAAGTCATTCTTCGGCTTAAATATGCTATTTTCTGTGTATTTTACTATAATTATGAGCCAAAAATACTCTTTATTCATTTCTAACCACGGATGGAGATTCACCTGGTTTATATTAAACCTCGTATTTGGATTCTTTTCCAGCATGTTCTGGATGAGATCCTTCAGCTCACTCGAAATTACACACTCTTTTGGAAATTTTAGCTTGCTCTTACAAATACTTTGCATAATTTTTTCCTCTGTTGGTCCTTCAAATGGAAATTTCTTCGTTATCATAATATACAAAATAACTCCAAGCGACCAGACATCAGTTTTACTGCTTGATTTCTTACTCTCTCCATTCAGCAGCTCAGGAGGTGAGTAAAGCAAAGTGCCAGATTGCCCTACAGAATTATTCGAGCCTAAAGAAGCCAGCCCAAAATCAATGATTTTAACAGAACAAGTCTTCTCATCCTTCAGTAAAATATTTTCAAGTTTGAGGTCGCGATGTAATATCTTTTTGTAATGCACATACACTATTGCTGAAACAAGTTCGACCATGATTGCACAGGCCTGCATTTCTGTTAACGGAGCAGGCTGCTTCTCAATAAAGTCTCCTAGTTCTCCTCCAGGGATATACTCAGTGATAATTGCGATTTCTTGATTGACCAGGAAAGCAGTCTCAAGTTTCAGAATATTCTCATGATCCAATGTCATTAAATATTGAGCTTCTTTTAAAATTTGTTGGATCCTATCTGCTTTATGTAGGTGTTCAGAGACTCTGACGAGTTTACAGGCCACAATCTCGTTATTAAGCTTATGTTTGAGTTTATACACATTCCCAAAACCTCCAGAGCCAAGCTTACATATCTTGGTATACATCTCAAGCAAGGCGAGGTAGTCGAAATCCTTTGAAGCGGGTCAGACATAGATACACTCTTTATTCCGAAGAAGGTTGAAATCATCATTGAAGATCTCACAGCCGTTTTTATCATATAGGATGAAATTCTCTGTTATCCTTAGTTTCTCCCTCACCATCTGTTTAACAGTCTCAGGGTCAGGGACAATGTTGACATATGTCCAATTGAGTCTTTTGGTAGTATTTTCTACCAAATAGATATTTTTGCTCTCTAAAAAAATGTTAAAGACTTGCAAAATCTGATTTTAAAGCCAGTAGGACTTACCTCCACATCCACTAAATCCTCTGTGCTCCATTAAGAGACAATCAGTATCGCTAGAGATTGAGGAGTCATCTAGTTGTTCCTTAGCTTCATTATTTCATATCAGGTATGAATCAGTTAAATAACCCCTTTTGAGCTCTAAAACAAAAAATCATAATCTTGCAGGAAGAAATTATGTAACTTCTGGTTTAGACTAAGCTAAAATGGGGTGATACTTTGCTCATCAAGAGATTTGAGCGCACCTGAGTGTTTCAGTCACCTTAGGCTTATCCAGTACTCTCAAGGTTACTTAAACCAACAAGTTTGATGTATGATCCATACAAAATTTGGAGCCTGAATTACATCCCTACTTCATAGCAAATAAATGCTAAAGATGTGATTTTAAGAGATCTATGAAGCTTCAAGCCTTAAGACTTGATGCCTTATTTAACCAAATTTTCAGACTCCACTTCTAAACTCTTAGCTTAAATTTTGTAAAAATTTATGAAGGAATTCAGAAAATATAAAAATTCCTCAATATTGAGTAAGGATTATTGACGACCAGAAGAGATCAGCATAAAATTTAGAGAATCGAGGCCTCTAATTTATTGCACACTATGTATTTGATCTCACTGGCTCTGAAACTTTTGATGATTTTGGAGTAAGGAAGATAATTTAATATAGAAAGAAACATTAGGATAAAATAGTGCAAGGAATACACTAAGAAGCAATAGACAGCTTTAAATATCAACTATTTAAGAGAATCTCATAAATTATAGTAGTTACGAATTTTTGTATTTTAAGTCTTCATTTTATAAAGTAGACTTGGGGTAGGTGCAATTTTTAGAACTCTGGATTGATTTCTTACTTTGATCCTCCACTTGGAATCAGCATTTCCTATAACAGAGAAATTAAATTTATTCATTTTCCAGTTCTCAAAAATGAAGAAAAATTCATACTCAATTACTAGGCCCAGGTAAGCAAAAATTATAATAAAAATGGTCAACTTTAACTCTCTTACCCCACCTAAAACATGGAAAAAAACCTTCAAAACACCTCTAAACCACCTTAAGAGACCTCCTTAGCTCCGTTTTATCTTATTTAAAAATACTATACCTTCTTTATACACTTTGTCTCCTTAATACTCTCAAACATATTGCTCTGATAATTACTCTTATTATATACAAATTTCTCAAAATATTCTAAAGAGTTGGGGTTTTGGGGTTTTGGGGTTTTGGGGTTTTGGGGTTTTGGGG